TTAGCTCCTAATGCTAGGGAAGGTCAATTTTTCAACTTCCAAATAGCAGAAGCCCAAATGGACCCCTAGCAGGGGCTATGTTGACACATGAGTGAAGGGATCATGGATAGACTGAGCTTGGGTTGATCAAAGTACTCCTAAGACTCTATCAGAAAACTACCTTATTTAATGAATGCTTTGTGGCACTGGAGATCGAAGCTGGGTTTTGCACATGGTAGCCATGTGCTCTATCACTGAAATACAGCCCAGCCCAGAAATTCTCTATCATCATCATCATCATCATCATCATCATCATCATCATCATCTCCTCCTTCTCCCCTTCTCCCCTCTCTCTTCCTCCCTCCCCCCGTCTCGGGGCCTCATTTTGTATAACTCAAGCTGTCTTCAAACTTCCAGTTTCCTTTCCTCAAGCATCCTAAGTGCTGGGGTTACAGGCCTGTGCCACTATACCCCACAGATATCCAAATTCTACCCTTTTAGTGACAAGATAGCTGCCAATCATCAGTAGCTGATAGAGTAAGACTATTTTCCCTAGTATTTTAACAAAAATCCAATTAAAGCGTTCTGACTGGTTGAGTTCTAGTCAACACTCCTCAGCTAATTAGTCTCTAGGACAGTCATATATCGGCCTCCAGATCTCAGAAATGGGATCAGTTCTATGGAAATCACAAAGAATAGGAAGGGGAAGGAAGGTTTCCAAGATGAAAACTAAGGAAAAGGGCACAATGGTGGCCATGGGGCCCATTTCTGAACCCGAGGAGTGGGCCATTAGGATGTCCACACATTGCTGAGAACATTTACCCAGTCACCAATTCTCCTCCTCCTTCCATTGCACAACCAGACTACATTTCCCAAAGCCCCTTGCGGCCAGGTGGGGCCATATGGCTGAATTGCGGCCAATGGACCATAAGAGGAAATAATATCATCACCCCCAGGACTGACAAAACAACCTCCCATGACTGGTGCCATGCTTTTCCTCATTCTGCTGGCTCCACACAGGTCACACACACACATAGGGTCTTGCTCCGATCCCTGCCTCTCGTCGTGCCTCTCCTGCTGTTCTACCTGAGGCCACTGGGCCTGAGGCCACTGGGCTAATGAACTGTGGTCCAAACACTGGTGCCCTCCTGGCACAACCTCAGAACAAAGGTTTCAGCTTTCAAGAGAGAAGCTGCTTGGCTCAGCAAACCTTAGTTAAGTTGCTCTGGGCCAGGGCCTCTTGTCCTTTTGGCAGAGGCTGGGGGTTACATAGGCAGTTTAGGCTGCCTCCCAGAAGTCCCTCTTCAGTCCCAAATACAGGACTGTCCTGCACCTCCTCTGGATTACCCCAGGCCCCCTCACACCCACTTGGCCTCCAGTGTCCTCCCATTGTGTCATTTCAGCCTGCTGCTCCTCTCCTAGACCTGACCCACTCCCCTTCTCAGTGGCCAAAGCCAGAAATCCAGGGTTAGGTGACTCCACTTTCCCTTCCCCCATCCCTTCCCCATGTGAGCTCCATTTTTCTTTTTCTTTTTTGGTCTTTTTGAGACTGGGTCTCCTTGTAGCCCCAGCTGTCCTGGAACTCACTATGTAGACCAGGCTGGCCTCGAACTCAGAGATCCGCCTGCCTCTGCCTCCCAAGTGCTGGGATTAAAGGCGTGCACCACCATGCCTGGCGCAAATGAGCCATTTTTCTAGAAGGCAAATCTGATCCCATCTCTCCACTGCTTAAAAGCCTTCAATACAAGAACTGGAGTGATCAAGGCTTAACATCCAAGCCCAGTCTCCTGATCTACCCTCCAGATCTCCAGCTCCTTCTTCTTATGATGTAGCTGTGCTGAGGGACTGGATCTCATCCTTGACACAACACTGAGGTTTCTCACCTGTGCTGAGTAGCTTTAGTGTCAACTTGACATACCTGGGTTGAGGGAG